TCCCCATGTTTGCTTTGCTGAACACGGGGGCGACTGACGCTAGTTTGAGCGGGCGCGGCCGGCACAAACTACCATCAGTCGCTCCGTGCTCATCAAAACAAGTCTGGAGAGGGCCTTTGCGGGCGGCCAGTTCTAGCCGCCTGCAAAGGACTTCCCCATGTTTGCTTTGCTGAACACGGGGTGACTGACGGTAATGAGAGGTGCAGCTGGAGCCTAGGAGGTCCCCTGCCGCCGTCCCCGCACCCATCCTAACTAGATTTTGTGAGGCCCCTCCGCGGCAGTTAGAAACTGCTGCACGGGGTTTTCTTGCCACATGTGTGGTTGCGCAGCCGCGCACCTTAGAGGGAACAGTGGTTGTGATTCCAGAGCATACCTGGTCTGCCATGAAAATCCACTATCGTATCTGAAATTAAGCATTGCCAAAAGGAAAAGTATGATGATTTTTTTTATTTGTTGCCTTGTCTAATGTTAGAAAAGTAATGAATATTGTAGCTTTCTAAAATTTGTTATTTAAGGGTATTTTATATGCCGCTTTAGCTGCAAAGTTTTTCAGAGGATCTTATGATCAACAAGAAGTAATACTCTCAAACCAGTAATATTAAAGAAACCTAGACAACCTGTGACTCACTGGATCACTATTTCAGAGATATTTTCTTACTTAAACAGAGAAACAAAATGACCATGGAGAGCAAAAATTCAGTGGGAGGAGATGTGACTTTTGAATTTCTCTCAGCTTCCCCACTGAATTTCCTTGTAGGAAGCTGGCAATGAACATTGGAAATCTCTCTTCCCTTCCCTGCCCTCTGCTCCCCTCCTTTCCCCTGACTCACAAAGGCCATGAAGCTGTTAGGGAAAGTTGAGAATGAAGATCACATGACTATAGCAGTGTGGCGGCAGTACTGAAAAAATAGCAACTGGCAGCACTGAGGCGCCACAACTTTCCCAAATTTTCATTCCTTTGGGGAATAATGAATCCCACATTCTGGAAGTTATCCCATTTGAGAGTTTTAACAGTATATAGATTCAATAAAGAGCTACAGAGGAGGGTTAGTCACCTCTCTTACTAAGCATTTTACAGTGATAGTTTTATTCTGAAGAACGTTTTTTGAAGTAGAGGACCTAGTTTGTAGCAGCCAGTAAAATATTACTGTTTACTCCTCATATTGGAAATGAAACAAAACGATGTGTTTAAATATCTACTGAGTTCATTCATTATTTTATGTTGCTACCATGGTCTGGCATCTTCTATGTCTTTTTCTTTAAAGTTTCAAAATGTAAAATTGAGCCTTATACTCAGATAATTCAGCATTGTTCTATAGTGCTGCAGACATTGCATAGTCATGCAGCTCACCATTATTAATTTTTATCCATTTTAACTAAATAGCAAATGTAAAGACAGTACATATTTTATTTTATTGTAAGTGTAACTTGTGGCCAAGGCAGTAGTTTTGAAGAGAGTCTTATTTCTGTTGCCATAATTTTAGAGGAGGTCTATTGAGTTGTGTAGGCTGAGAATAACCAGAAAATGTTATAATGTTATTTTTTCTTCTGATGTCACTGAATGTCAGTACTTTTTTTGCCAGTTATTTAAATTTTCTGATACTTTTTGATTGCTAGATATCTAGATTAAGAATATAAAAATGGTATATACTCTGTTGCTGTTAATTAGAGGCAGAAATCACATAACTATGTACAAAATCATTCTGAAATTGATTTATAAAAAAGCATGTGTGAATAATATGTGTGAGTTTGGCCTTTTCAGAGAATAATTTCTTTGGATTATGTAAACCTTTTTTGTGTTAATAGAGCTCTTAGATATGATCAGATAAGTGCAAACATTCAAATGTTCTTACATCCAACAATCTTATAATTATAATCCTTCCATAATTGCACTCCTCAGTTTCAGGTCCAACAAAAATAGATTTCAGCTAGTTAAATGAAGACTAATACAGCAATCATTGAAATAGACAAAATAAATTGAGTATTTTTCATTTCTTGATCTAGGGGAGCATATGAATTATATGTATTATGGTATCAGTAGGAAATAGCTAATTCTAATATCTGCAAATGCCTGATATAAATCTGCTATCTCTGAAAATGTATAAATGGCATATTATAATCTGACACAAATTTTGTTTTACTTGTTAATTTTTTAAAATCTTGGCAGAAAGTGATGGCTATTGCATCACTAATTTTTGTCATCATAGGCTTTTAATATACATGAGTGGGATAATTATATGAAATGTTTCAGTCACATTTAATTATGGATACATAAGCATGTGAACTACAATTATAAAATTATATAGCCTTTACATAGAAAAGTTGTTTTAAATCTAAGTTTAAATAACTTACTATAGGCTTAGTAAATTTCTTCTCTTGTTACATTGACTGTATAGAACAATTAAAATCTCTTAAATCAGAGGTCCTCAAACTTTTTAAACGGGGCCAATTCATGGACCCTCAGACTGTAGGAGGGGCGGACTAGCTGAGTGGTCATGTGACTGGGCAAGCGTGGCTAGGTGGTCTTGTGACTGGGTGGTGTGGCTAGGTAGTCATGTAACTGGGTGGGTGTGGCTAGGTAGTCATGTGACTGGATAGGCATGGCCAATTTAGCAGTCCATTAAACAATACACAGAAATTAAGCTTTAATTTGTTATGCACCTGGGGGTGGAAAGAAGGTTAGTGCAGGGATGCGGCTGCCTTGGGGTATGTGCAGATCTCTCTCCCCCCTCCCTCTCCTCCCTCCCTCTCTCTGAAGGCCCATTTTTTGGCCTCCTTGGCCTCCAGAACCACTCTGCCACGCAAAAACAGGCCTGTTTTTGGATTTCTGAGACATCCACGAATTCCAATTTTGGCCTCCTCAGCCTCCAGAATCACTCTTTTGCCCCAAAACGGGGCCATTTTTGGCCTCCTGAGGCCTCTGTGTATCCCGTTTCTGGCTTCCTCAGCCTGCAGAAGGTGGTTGGAGCCGGTGGATAGTTGGAGCGATGTGGGTAGGGTAGCCTTGTGGTCCCTCGCAGGCCAGATTAATGGCTTCGGCAGGCTGTATCTGGCCCCCCGGACCCTAGTTTGAGGACCCCTGTCATGCTCTAATGGAGTGCTTTGCTTCAGAAGAGAATTAAACATGAAATTTGAAACAATTATTTTCTGGTGTTGGATAAAATGTATGATTTCTATGAATTCTTTATTGGATTGTTTAAGAAGACATGTTCCTTATTTTCATGTTCCTTATTTTGTTTGTAAAAGTGTTCATTTTGTCATAGCATTCAAAAGATCATGTTTGTAACACTAAGACTTAGAGATAGTTTTCAGAGTTATCACGAAAAAACAAATCCCTTTTTACACAAACCGTTATAGCCATCTGGAAATTAGCTTGGTTTGTTTTATTAACTTTCTCCTTTTTTTGCCTTTTATGAAATGAGGACTGGGTTATTTCCATGTTTTCTATGAAATGTACATATAAAAATATGTTTTAAGTACTTTGTAAATTGTATACAAATTTTTATTTTGTATCCAAATGTTTGTAAAGAGAAGTGACAGAGTTTCCAGATCTTGTCAAGAAATAGATTTCCATTTCCATGTAACTTTTTCTGAAAGTATGAATGGATTATGCCATTTTGGTTTATTTTAATTATATTGCCTAGCTTCCAGAAATCCTAGCCTGCCTTGCCATTCATGAAAATGCTGGTGTTCTTACATTTGACGGATAGTCAGGTTGGGGAAGATGGGTTGATTTGAACAGAAACCATGATGATATTTAAATAGACCATAAAATGTCATTTGCAGGTGCTGATCTTAAAGAAAGAGTTAAAATGCATGCTAGTGAAGTAAGCTCTTTTGTCTCAAAAGCAAGATCCACTATTAATGAAATGGGTAAGTACAACTTTCATTGAAATATTACTATTCAATCATGAATAGTAGTAGTAGTAGTAGTAAATAAAGTTCTGTGATAAAAAAATCCTGCTTAAATTTTTCATAACTCTGTAATAAATAAGACTAATTATCATTAACATGTCAAAGAGATGTATAATATAATTGTCACTAAAGAATATTAATTTTCTTACATTTTTCTCTGTTGTTTAATGCAGTATTACTGAATTGAGTGTAAATAAACCCTGTAAATGTATAGACAGAATTTATTTCAGTGAATATCTTTCACAATTAAGTTAAACTCTCAAAACAGTTTGAATAGGATCAAATCAGAAAAAAAATCAAAATGTTTCCTAGAAAACTTTAATTGGAAACTTCAACTGTTGTAATATTAAAACAAATGTGTTCTAAACAGTTGGATTGAGAGTGAGAGAAGTAGAGCTATGGCATTTCTTTTTTCAGTTGTATCAAAAGATTGTATTTGTAAATAATTCGAAGATCTTACAATTATTTTATAATTGTGTTTCAAGCTGTCAGTTCTGTTTATTATTTTATGTGTTAAATTTATTTGCTGTCTATCTCGCCATAGGTCTGCTCTAGGAGGTTTACAATAATAAAAAGGAATAAGAATGAAAATAATGTAAAAAGAACAGAAGTAAAATAATAGAACAGTAAAATAATGACAAAGGAAACAATGAGAATATTACATCAATATGATAAAAAGATGGATGGGTAGAGAGCAGGGGAGGATGGAGTCTGCCATCAATCCATCTAACAGCCACCTCTATTCATGGATCTATCACTGAACATGCCAGTTGCTAAATATTATTTTGTGAAGAGGGAAATTACATTCATCAGCACTTCAGAAGTAGTATTTCCAAAAATTCATTAAAAAATTTTTGATAATGAAGTTAAGAATCCATTAATATTGTAGATATGCTTGAATATAATCTGTTGTTACCTAAGATTGGAATGACAGTATTTTAAGAATTTATTGTCTTTCAGTGATAACTTCCTGTTAGCGTTAAGTCAGTTAACTTGTATTGAAACAAGCAGCTAAGTAAAACTGACATATTCACTGGTAGTACAGGTGTGTAAATGCTGGTGACAAACAATGAGTAGGGTTGTTATTTTCATGCCCTGCTTATGTGATTTCCAGATCTCTATTAAATAACATAATTTTCATCTGATCTTCCTCATCTCATAGCTCCTACTTGAACAAAAGGTGGAGTCTGTAGCCAGGAGGACCTTGGCTGCTTGGAAATGGAGTGGCATATAAATTAAAATAATAAAGTAAATAACTTTCATATTTGTTAGTTTCATGGATAGATAATATATCTATTTTGATTTGCATATTTACATATCATGAATTGCTGTTTTATCATAACTGCTCCTTATTACAATTAATTCTGGTACCTTTATTTTTTTATTGCTGTTAATATCCCAAATATCTCTGTAATCAGACTTTAGTTTGTAGTTAATATTGAAAAGAAACAAAAACAATGTTATCTATAGAATCACCCTTAAGATGGGTGGCACATACATTAATAAATAAATAGATATTATAAATTTTGTAAAATTAATTTTATGTTTGAAATATTGACAACTGGCTGAATTTTTTTTAAAACTTTGCTTTTTAGCTAATCTTCCAGTACCAACTATAGCTGCAATAGATGGCATTGCATTAGGTGGCGGCCTAGAATTGGCTCTAGCCTGTGATATAAGAGTGGCAGGTAAGATTTAGTCCTATTTTTAAAATTAAAGCATTTTTCTAAACCTTATTTAATTCAAGTGTAGGAAAATGATTTCTGAACGCTATTTTAATGAAATTTTGAACATCTCAACTGTGATAATTATTATAGTACTTACATTAGTATTAGTATTAACTTTTAAGTTTTGGATCCAGGGTAAATGTATTTAATCTAATATAATTTTTTTGTGATTTGTGTCATGAAAGGTTGTTCCTAATAAGTACAAAAGAGGATAAAGAAAAAGGAACAAGTTAATGAAGTGTTCACATTAAGACAATTTTTTCCACTATACAAGAGTAGGTGTAAGGTTTTTAGCATGTCACCTGTCCTGGAAACATCCTCAACCTTAGACTGTTGGATGGAGGTGGTTGCTAAAACTGGAATGGATCCCTCACCTCTTACTTGTCTCATTCAGATACAGAAAATTGCAACATTAATAAAACCAATGATGGAAAAAGATAATTAACCGTTGTCTATTCATAGCTTTTAGTCATAAAACCAAACACTAAATCCAGGCAGGATATTTGCATGATGGATATTCTGTAGCCTTGCTCTAAATGGGGAAGTTCCCAGGAAGAGAGGATAAATTAAAACTTCCTGTATCTGAATTGCTCCTTTTAGAAGCAGTTTTTTAAATACATTAATAAATTTATTTTCTTTGCATCAGCAACTCAGGTAGTTTCCGGCGATTAAAAAATAAAAATACAAACAATAACTTTAAAAGCAACAGCAATATATCCCAATTAAAATATTTAATCTTTGGACAGTCCAGTTTATTATTTTACAATTTACAATCCTAGTTCAGCTGGAAATCAGTGTATTGAAAAATACATAAAGAAGATGGGAATATGTTGTATGCAGAACAATTGTCATACAAAGAATTTTTCTGGTTATGAAAATATTAGAAAATCATGACACATACTGGCTTTTTACGGAGAACAGAAATGAATCTTTGCATATGGGCACTAAAAAGAGTTGATTTCCTACACCTGCATGCACTTTCTGAAAAATGAAAGGGTACAGAGCCTTTTGAGAGAAAATGTTTTCCCTCCATTCAACCTAAGGCACGGTGGGATTTGTTTTTGGTTTCTTAGTAAACCATGGCTTAGTGCTGAATTGAAACATAGCCATTCTGCCCTTTTTAGTGTTTTCACTTTTATCTGAAACTATTACAATGAAGCTACAGTTTATTTTATTAAGTTCCTGTTATATTATTCAAACAATTTGTAGGTTTTTCAAAAACCAACTTACTTTTTTTTTAGCTTCTTCTGCAAAAATGGGACTAGTTGAAACAAAATTAGCAATCATTCCTGGTGCAGGTATGGATTTTTTTTCATAATTATATAACAGTTCTTTATGAATGTTATTGTTATGTTCCATCTCTTCTATGGTGTCCAAATGGTGGCCAGTTTTGAACAACATTTGCATTCTGAGTTGTTTGTATATACAGTAACTCCAGGTGGTGAATGTACTTAATATAGTCCTGCCTCCTATTTTCACCACAGCAACAACCCTATGAGATTGGTTGGGCTGAACTAGAGTGACCGGCCCAAAGTCACCCAATTGGTTTTTATTCCCACGGTCTCCTGGTTTCTAGGCCAATATATTAATGACTTCACCAAATTGACTTTCAATACATTTTCCCCATCTCTATTGTTTGATAACTGTCATAAAGTTGTGAATGTTTTACCAATAATATTGAAAGTGAGTAGTCATGGAGATGGAAATGAAGCCAGGTTGGGCTGGTGAGGATATCTATCTACTCTTAAACTGTAGGACATTTTGCCTTCTAATACCATTGTACAAACAACAAGCATGGATATGCATGCTGCCCATTTTTACTTATGAAGATTTTTAGCATTAGGGAACAACACAGAAATAAACTCCTTGGTACTTGGCTTGCTGCTTAGTTTTCTTCTGTGCAGCAAAAATCCCCAAACTACCCAAAGAGGAAGGAGAAGTTGCACTTCTTTAATTTTCTCCTTTTCAATATACAGGTAGTCCTTGATTTAAAACCCACAGTCGGGACCAGAATTTTCATTGCTAAGTAAAGCAGTTGCTAAGTGAGACTTGCCCGATTTGATGAGCTTTTTCAACACAGTTGCTAATTGAATCATTGCAATTAAGTGAATCACACAATCCTTAAGCAAATCCAGCTTTCCTCATTGACTTGTCAGAAGCCAGCTGGAAAGATTGCAAAAGCTGATCAAATGACCCCAGAATGCTGCAACAGTTATAAATACATGCCAGTTGCCAAGTGCCTGAATTTTGATCATGTGACCATAGGCATGCTGCTATGGTCATTTCACTTTTTTCAATGCTGTTGTAACTTTGAATGGTTGTTAAAGAAATGGTTGTAAGTTGAGGACTACCTGTAGATATAGTTGCACTGGCCAGATGATTTTAGATTTGGCTGATAAAAATTGAAGATCCTATTTCCTTCAGAATGTAGGAGTTACAAGAAGGTGAAACAGACTTATTTGATATTGTTTTGTCTTACTTCATGAAGAAATTATAAATACAAACTATTTCCTACTTCAGTGACTAAGGTCTGAAATGGGAACATGAAGAGAAAAACTGACTGTTTTATCAACTGCATCATTTTTCGTTATGATAGGTGGCTAAATATTTTAATATTTACTATATTTATCATTCATCAAATTTTAAATATTTCAATGCTTGATGAATATGTGAATAATGTAAAAATAGCTGGTTTGTATAACTATACAGGTAATTCTTGGCTTATGACCACGATTGAGCCCAAAATGTATGTTGCTACGTGAAATATTTGCTGAGTTCTGCCCCATTTTACTATCTTTCTTGCTGCAGTTGTTAAGTGGATCACTGAAATTGTTAATTTAATAACCTGGTTGTTAAGTTAATCTGGCTTCCCCATTGACTTTGCATGTCAGAAGATCCCAAAAGGGGATCACATAATCCTTGGACACTGCAATGGTCATAAATAGGAACTAGTTGTCAGGAATCTGAATTTTGATCACATGACTACAGAGATGCTACAATGTTATAAGTCTGAAAAAATATCATAAGTCCCTTTTTTCGGCACCGTTGTAACTTCGAACAGTCAATAAAAGAACAGTTGTAAATTGAGGACTATCTGTAACCTAAAGCTAACAAAAGGAGGAGAGTTTGTACAAGAAACAAAAAGAGAAGACTGTTTTCACCAGAAGGTCTATCAGTAATTTTTTGACAAAATGTTGGAGAAAGGTTGTCATTTTATTTTCTAGTAGATACCTTGTTTATGACATGTCCCTCAAGGGTGAACTGTGCAGGAATTATACATCCCCAACGATAATAGCAAGTTGCACAAGCTCTTTTGTTAGTACATGGTAACAATTCATGAAGGTGCAGAATGGCCATTGAATTACAAAATATAGCATGTGGTGATTTAGCACTGTATCTTTTTTGGACCTGTGAAGTTAAGAATATTGACATGTTTCTTGAACGATACAAAGAGGCACTTATAAAATCAAAGCATTTTTATAAGCAAACACTTGAGTAATTATCATAAATCTGGATCTGACTATTTGAGCTCATGAATAATCTGAAGTCTTGATGTTGTAATCAAATTATTTCTCATCATTACTAGTTTGTATGAAAACTCAACTTTATTTGCTTTTTATATTATTTGAAAATGTTTGTTTTATGCCTACAAAAATAAATACTCTCAAGAGAAATGGTAATATTATATTATAGAAAGCAGATGTTTGAACCACAAATCTTATTTCCAAATAATTAAACAATGTATCTCAAGTGCTAATAGAAGGAGGTGTATATAAATTAAGAAGAATAGTGTGTCTTGCATGTGTTTCCTGCTTGCTATTCCCAAAACAGAATTTGATTGAGATGAATTTCATTGTAACTGGTTTAATAAATCTAGCAATAGTTCTTCAAATTACTTTGAGTTAGAATAACTTTATTGTCACTTTGAATGTACACTAATCGACATACATTTCTTGCATACAAAAAATCAGATAATGTCCCATTATCTGGTTTTTTAAAAGCTTCATTGCATTATGCAGCATGTTAAAATATTTTTCTAGTTATTCTTCAGTTGTACTTGGAATAAGTAATATAATATCAGGTGACTTTATTTGCCAGTCTTGCTCCTTAATCATAGTTTGGACTATTGGCTTATTTGTGTGAAATTTGATAAATATGAAAAACAGAATTTATTTATATTATCCTTTCTTATATCCTGGCAAAACTGACAGAAACCCCTACCCTAAGCTTTGGTACAGATCAGTAGATTTAGATAAGGATAGGAAGTGGGTGGTAAACACCAACAGATGATGTTTAGTGAACCTAACCAATATTTGTGCATTTTTCATTTAGAAGCTTTTAATAAATGTATTGCTACAACTGAAAAACACTGATATTGAATCAAAGTCTTCAAAGTACAACCTAAATCAACAACCCACGCACTTTTGTACAGCTGACTTAGCACAATCGTGCATTTAAAACATAGGTTTTCTTTAGTCATAATAAAACCTGAAGCATGTATTTGGAAGAATAGATTTTTAGAGGTGATGATTATCCATTTGGAGTTCAATTCCTGACAGCTTATATAACAGGAAAAATTATCTACTTTTCTGTGCTCTTTTTTCTGCAGGCCACAGTGTATCACACTTTATGTTTTGTATTGTGGTATATTTTAATTTAAATATGTGATTTTGTTGTTGCTATTGTTACTTTAGTTTATACTTAAGACACAAAATATAGTATTGTGTACTCCGGTAGTCCTTGACTTATGACCACAATGGAATCCAGAATGTTGATCATAAGTTGTTGCAGTCATAAATTGAGGTGATAATCTTCCTTAACTTTTTGTTCTGAACAATAACATAGTACTCCAAAGTAGCAGTATTGTCAGTAAATTAGTATGGCAACACATGTACAATGATGTCATTGCATAAATGCTACCTACCTGCTTTGGAGAGAGAACATGGAGGATTGTTCTGAATTACAGAAAAACAATGTAAACACTTTACATTTGGTTTGAATGATGCAAGCTTGAGTTATTAGTTTTTAGCAAGAAAGCTTTCACAGAATATACTGATTCTGAAATTGATCGCTTTAACAATTCTATATATTCTGGAAGTGATCTGAATTTGAAATACACTGTTCTGGCATCTTGATTTTCTGGCATCAGGATGGTCCATTGTGTGGTTGACATTGTGGCTTGGGGGCCAGAACACTTCCAGAATACATGTTAGTTCCAGAATTAGAATATTAAACCACAAAAGGTTTGGCACATGCCTAATTTCTTGTATGGTAAATTAGATGATGACTGCTGAAGGTTTTAATGTCTTACAATGTTGTCCTAAAAATAGAAAATAGAAAATTCTACAAAGGAAATGGTATGACTTTGATTTTGAAGCCTAAACAGTTGCCTCTTTTTACTTCCCTCCAACTATAGGAACAAAATTGCTGCTATAAATAGAAAGTGATGCATACACAAATGTTCACACTTTGCCTTAATAACTGGGACGTTATATTTAACTATAAGCCTTGTAAAATGAAAAAGGCACCCTCCCCCCAAGCTGTACAGGTGAAACTCGAAAAATTAGAATATTGTGCAAAAGTTCATTTATTTCAGTAATGCAACTTAAAGATAGACTCGTTACATGCAAAGCAGCAAGATAGTTCAAGCTGTGATTTGTCATAATTGTGATGATTATGGCTTACAACTCATGAAAACCCCAAATCCACAATCTCAGAAAATTAGAATATTACATGCAATCAATAAAACAAGGATTGTACATAGAACAGCATCGGACCTCTGAAAAGTATAAGCATGCATATGTACTCCGTACTTGGTTTGGGCCCCTTTTGCAGCAATTACTGCCTCAATGCATCATGGCATGGAAGCTATCAGCCTGTTGCACTGCTGAGGCGTTATGGAAGACCAGGATGCTTCAATAGCGGCCTTCAGCTCTTCTGCATTGTTTGGCCTCATGTCTCTCATCTTTCTCTTGGCAATGCCCCATAGATTCTCTATGGGGTTCAGGTCAGGCGAGTTTGCTGGCCAATCAAGCACAGTAATCCCACGGTCATTGAACCAGGTTTTGGTGCTTTTGGCAGTGTGGGCAGGTACCAAGTCCTGCTGGAAAATGAAGTCAGCATCCCCATAAAGCTTGTCTGCGGAATGAAGCATGAAGTGCTCCAAAATCTCCTGGTAGACGGCTGCCTTGACCCTGGACTTAATGAAGCACAGTGGACCAACACCAGCAGATGACATGGCTCACCAAATCAACACAGACTGTGGAAACTTCACACTGGACTTCAAGCATCTTACAGT